CCAGTAGTTGATCATAGAATCATGCTGGAGGACCTACAAATGCCCAGATAAGTGTTCTCTCTAGGAATTTCTAGGTCCTCCAGCACAACTCTATGTTCAACTTCTGGGAGAGTTGTGCTGGAGGATTTAGAGATTCCTAGAGAGGACATATTAATCAAAACCTCAACCCACCAAATCCACAAAAGTCAAAGCCACAAATGTGGAGGACCAACTGTATTTTTGTCTCACACCCTCACACCAATGATCTGCAGTGTGACAAAAATCAGAAGCAGGACTCCTGTTGCACCACAGATCACTGGCAAGAGAGGGAATCAGGTCAGGCATATACATGTTTGTGACTTCAATGTGGGGTCTCAGCCAGAGTTAACATTAGTATCTCTTCAATGTGATATAATGTAGTTCTCTGGGTTCTCCCAAAATTTTAACAACAAGCCTATGAGGCAGTTCAGGCAGAGAAGGACTGAGAGAGAGAATGTGTGAATTTTTGTGACTTGGAATCATAAAGTTGGAAGAGACCACAAGGGCCATCCAGTCCAACCCCCTGCCATGCAGGAGCTCCCAATCAAAGCATCCCTGACAGATGGCCATCCAGCCTCTGCTTAAAGACCTCCAAGGAAGGAGAATCCACTACTCTCCGAGGGAGTGTCTTCCACTGTCGAACCGCCCTTACTGTCAGGAAGTTCCTCCTAATGTTGAGGTGGAATCTCTTTTCCTACAGCTATCATCCATTGTTCTGTGTCCTATTCTCCAAAGCAGCAGAAAACAAATTTGCTCCATCTTCAGTTTGACATCCCTTCAAATATTTATACAGGGCTATCATATTAGCACTTAACCTTCTCTTCCCCAGGGTAAACATACCCAGCTCCCTAAATCAATCCTTATAGGGCTTGGTTTCCAGACCCTTCACCATTTTAGTTGCCCTCCTCTGGACACACTCCAGTTTCTCCACATCCTTTTTGAATTGTGGTGCCCAGAACTGGACACAGTATATTCCAGGTAAGGCCTGACCAAAGCAGAATAGAGTGGCACTATTACTTCCCTTGATCTAGACACTACACTTCTACTGATGCAGCCTAGAATCGCATTGACCTTTTTAGCTGCTGCATCACACTGTTGACTCACGTTCAACTTGTGGTCTGCTAGTCTTCCTAGATCCCTTTCTTGTTAAGCCAGGTGTCCCCCTTGAACCTGGATCCTTCCCAAATGATCATCCAGTACTCTGACCATGGCACCACACTGGCTTTTCTTATCCCTAACAAAACTGCCCCAGAATTAAGACTAAAAGGTGTATTCATATGCCATAATAAACAAATAATAACAACATCAATATGGAGTAATAACAATTATTATTAAGTGCAAGCTTTCTGGAACAATAACAATTACACACTTTTTTTTTTCTTTTGGAAAAGACATTCAAGAATTCATTATTATTACATGACATTAAGAACATTTAGGCTACCCTTCCGGGAAATGTGCACTGAATAAAAATTATTACATTTTGTAGTACTCTATATTGACATTGTTATCATTTGTTTATCACAGTGTCATAATACATCTTTTCATATTTAACCTTAATTCCTGGACAGTTTGGTGAATGTTTTCAGGGGATGGCAATGGCAAACACCCCTCTGAAGAAAGTTGCCAAAAAAAACCCATGGGTTACCATAACTCAAAAAATTACTTGGAGGCACACAACAACAACAACTCTAGCAGCAAATGTTTAAAATAGTCACCACCTTCACTGGAGTCCTGCAAAATCTTTCACACCACCATGACTGGCTGCTTGCTCCCTTTAAAGGCTCCCACAAACTCTTTTGTCCGGAAGATGTTGTTGCTGTTGCAGATTAGCAAGACTATTCCAAGCTTTTCTCTCCCTTAATTCTTGAATCTTTTTCTTTCTTCTCTCCTTCTTTCCCCATCCTCTATTTAGATCACCTCTTGCACACAGTATTTTTTGGGGGGGGAATTGCATTCTCCTGGGCATTACACCTGCAGCATTAACTCCTCCTGACAAATGCAAAGAAAGCAATTCCTCATCATGATCC